TTTTTCATTTTTGTTTTTTCAGGACAGGGTTTCTCTGTGTAACAGCCCTGGCTGTCCTGGAACTCACTCTTATAGACCAGGCTGGCCTCAAACTCACAGAGATCCGCCTACCTCTGCCTCCTGAGTGTTGGGATTAAAGTCATGCGTCAACACCATCTGGCTTACCTTTTATAAAGAAGTAAGGAATAAGCTTGCAGAATTAAGACCCACAGAGTTGTTCTGTTCTGCATGGCAGCTACTAGCTCCAAGTGTTTGTTTTAAATTTTAATTTAATGTGACTTTTTCATTGCAGGATGTTCTAGTAGACAATACACTGAGATCTTAAATACACACATACCATAATGTGCAGTATTACATGTATTAAAGTAAAACTGAAATTAGGGAAAATATAAACTTAAGAAGAATTTGCCTACGTGCTTATAGGAAAAAGCCAAAAGAAATAAATGAGTTGGCCTTAGAATTGGCATACTATAGTCAACTCAACACGCTAGCTGTTTACACTGCTATTCACAGAAACAGCTCAGGAATCAACAGAAGCAATGGTTTAAACTCTCTGTAGTAAAAGAAAAAATGCTAATAAGCAGACTTTTACACAAAGTTAGGATCCTTTTGGGAGTTTTCTTATTCATCTTCTGCTAAACAGCAGACAAAAGTACATTGACAACTGAGCTGCAGCTATGCTTTCTGACTGGTTTCATGATGGCACCTTAACTATAATATCTTCTAATGATAGAGTCAAATCATAAGAAACTGTTTGATCTTTGCCTTAGTCAATGTTCTATTGGTGTGAAGAGACACCAGGACTACAGCAACTCTCATAAAAGAAAGCATTTAACTGGAACTAGCTTACAGTTTCGGGGTTGAATACATCATGGCAAGAGGAGGGCAGCAGGCAGGCAGACGTGGAGAAGTAACTGAGAGTTCTACATCTGGGCCCACAGGCAGCAGGAAGAGAGAGTCACTGGGCCTGGCCTGGGTTTTTGAAACCTCAAAGCTCACATCCAATGGCAAACTTCTTCCAACAAGGCCACACCTACTCCAACAAGGCCTCCTAATGTTTCTCAAGGAGCACAATGTCCTGAGGACTAAGCATTGAAATATGAGCCTACAGGGCTATTCTTATACAAACCACCACAACCTTAAATGTGAATAAAATTCAAATGCCAAATACAGCACTGCTTAAGAGATCAGTAATATCTAAGTATTAATGTTAAAAATTTCAAGTTCATCATTAATCTTGTGAAAAGTATTCCTAATTGTATTAGTTTTTAATTTTAATCTTATGACTTAATTTAATACAAAGAAATTAAAATAACCCAAGTAAATAAATATAATGACTTGTTTATGATTAACAATAATTTTATTTTCCAACAGATATTTTTCTACTTCTGTATTTTCCTTAGACAACATAAATGTTTTAGAACTGAATCACTTGGTCCTTTCTTTTGTCTCTTCCCAATTTAAAATGCAGTACTGATATTTTTAAGAATAAAACTCAGCACTCAAGAAGCCAGCCTATTCTGCAAGGCAAATTCCAAGGCTAAAGTAGGACATTATCTCAACAAACACACACAGAAACACAGATCTTCCCTTACTCAAATAGGCTGTGTGTTGCCTGCAGGGGAAAAGCATTTGTCTGGGATGGGCTTAATATTTTACATTTTACATGTATTTTAATATTTACATTTCTTTTGTTTTTGTTTTTCGAGACAGGGTTTCGCTGTGGCTTTGGAGCCTGTCCTAGAACTAGCTCTGTAGACCAGGCTGGTCTCGAACTCACAGAGATCCACCTGCCTCTGCCTCCGAGTGCTGGGATTAAAGGCGTGCGCCACCATCGCCCGGCTAATATTTACATTTCTTATGAGTAATGCAGACACCTTAAATTAAGGTATTAAAAACCAACACTGCACATCGCTGCAGTTAAATATATATAAAAGACAACACCTATATTATATACACAGCAAGTATAAACCTGGGAAAATTGCTAACTAGCAATTTTTAAAAGTCCCATGAAGAGTTCAGACACATCACGCAAGACTTTAAAAACAGACTATTAAACCACAGATGACCACACAGACTCAAACTCTAGAGCTCTGGTTTAGCCTCTCCCTCTTACCACCGGAGGCCTATTTAAAAGAAGCCATACTTTCTAATGTTAGGGGTCAGAAGTCTTTAACTTTGGCACTCTACTGCCAGAGCAGGTCATGTCAACACAAATGAGAGGAAGGCAAAGTATATGTCAAGGCAATAATAATAAGGCTGGGGTTCTGAGAGCACTCCAGATAGCCAATAACAAGAAGGAACAAGCTCATTAAAGGGAAACTGCAGTAGAAATGCCTCAGGGAACATGGGATGGGGTTGACATCCTTCAGAGACTGAATACAAAGTGCAAATTGTCCCAAACAAGTCCAATTTTACCAAAGAACAGAGTGAGAGAGGACACGTAAGGGGAGAAATGTAAAAGAGGAAGAAAAAAAATCATGATTTAATATGCTAACAAGAAGACTGTTTTCTGGAGTACAGTTCAGAGTTTATCAATCCAGCAGAGAAGCCTTACTGCAGTGTCAGTACGCTCAGAGTGCTGGCATCACTGGGAATCCCAACACAGACATAGGCAAGAGTAGGAAGATCAAGTTCAAGTGCAACCTGGTCTATATAGTAAGACCCTATATTTAAAAAAAAAAATTAATGACGCCATTGTGGAACATTTTTGTATGCTCAACCCAAAAACAAAATATAAATACAAAATATAAATACAAAACAAAAACAAAAATATAATCTTTAAACTTTTATCTGTATGGTGTTTTGGCCTGCACGTCTATCATTGTGCCATAAGCAGGTAGTGCTCAAGGGGGGGCAGAAGAGTGTGCTGGAACACCTGGAAATGTAGTTAGAGAGAGTGGTTAGCCACCTTTGTGGCTGTCTGTTCTCTTAACTACTGATCCATCTCTCTCCCTCTAACCCTGATAAAGCAACTCATAAGAAATGTAAATGTAAAAAGAGCGGCCTGGAAAGATGGCTCTGCAGTTAAGATAGGAGCCAATGTGGTTCGTAGACCCACATGGTAGACAATCATCTATAACACCAACTCCAGGGAATCAGATGCCTTCTTCTGGCATCTGTGGGCACCAAGCTCTATATGGTATTCATACAGGTAAAACAATCATATACAAAAAAATTTTTTAAAAAAATTGATCTGTACTATCAGAAGCAGGCATGAGAGTGCAGCCTGACAAATCCATGAGATGTGAAGATGTGGAGATGGGATCACTCATCGCGCCTGAGGCTGGCTTGTACTTGTTAGGCAGCTGAGGATGAACTGAACTCAGCTCTCCTGTCTTACCTTGAAGGTGCCAGAACTATTAAGAGCATGCTTTACCACACCTGGTTTCACTTAGTACTTTAAAATCAAATGAGAAACCAACAAAATGTTGTTTCCAGGTTCTGACTATGACAAACAATGCTGTTATGGCCCTTGATTACACTTCTTCCTGTTAAATACTGACAGAAGATTATATGAAGCCTGACTGTAGGCATCTAGATCGGGTTTACTTCCCATACTACCCTCAATCTGCAGTTACTACTCAGTGCCCTCATTTTCAAAAACATACTTTTAGTCCTTATCTTTTAAAAACAACGAAGTTCCACTGGACCTTGTTCCACTGACCTTTTTGCTCCTTAGTGTACAGCTTTCTACTGTTAGGCAAAGAAAGATACCATGTGTCCAGAACTTCTACAGGTGGCAATCTTGAAGTGGGTGCCATCACAAACATCTCACAGAAAAGATATGATAATGGGCTACAAAGTATGGTAGTTTAAATGATAACGGCTCCACTGGATCATATTTGAATGCTTGGTCCTCAGTTTGTAACCTGTTTGCGAAGGATTAGGAGGTGTGGCCTTGCTGGAGGACACGTGTCACTGGAAATGACTATCACCATTCCCAATTGGCTTTCTCTGTCTTATGCTCCTTTTTAGACTGAAATGGGAGCCGTCAGCTACTGCTCCAGTGCCATGTCTGCTTGACTGCTGCCGTACTCCTGCTGTGATTGGTCAGGGGCTGTGATCTTCTGGAACCACGAGCCCAAAGTTGAACTCCCTTCATTTTAAGGTGCCTTGTTCATGGTGTCTTATCACAGGTATAAAAAGTAACTGAGATAGGAAGAGAGCCGTGTATCCTAGTTATCATGAACTGTCAGCCTGACACAGTCTGGAATTACCTGTACTATTCCCTGAGCAGTGGCCACCCCACCCTCAAGACAGGGTTTCTCTGTATAGCCCTGGCTGTGCTGGAACTCACTCTGTAGAGCAGGCTGGCCTCAAACTCAGAGATCTGCCTGCCTCTGCCTCCTGAGTGCTAGGATTAAAGGTGTGTGTCACTACACCTGGCCATCCTGGGCAATTTAAACAAACTAGCTGAATATGAGCCTGAACCGCTGAGAGAACAAGGAAGCAAGCAGCATTCCTCCATGGCTTCTGGGTGAACCTCCTGTCTTGACAGCCCTCAGGGATGGATTGTGACCTCAAGTTATAAACCAAATAAATCCCCCTAGTTTCTGTTGGTCTACATTTTATCACAGCATCAGAAATAAACTAAAATATTGTGCAAGAACCCAATCCCTGGAGCCCACATAAAAATGCTGAGTACGGTGGCACGGATTTGAAACCCAAGTGCTGGACAGGGTGGAGCCTTGGTCTGGCCTGCCCCACCTAACTGACAACTCCTGGGCAGTAAAAGATTCTTTCTCAAAAAATGAAGTGGTCATCAACTAAGGACTAACACCCAGCTGACTGCCTTTGTGCATCACATACAAACATGTGCATCCACATCTGCACTCGTGCATAAACACACACACGGATGCATAAAACTGGCAGTATAACCAGTGTTATAAAGTGTTATATAAAAATGTATCAAAAACATTTCTATCAAAACTAAGAAACTAATGTACACAAATTCTAATGTTTTACATTTTATATATTTTAATGACGGCTTCTGTTACCTCTTCTTTCAATGCATGTTTCTTCTGTTCCAGACAAATCTCTTTAGCTCTCATCATTTGCAAAGTCTCCTTAGAAACTGCATACTGGAGTTTTTCCATGCGTTCTGCAGCTGCTGCCCACGATGCTTTGCCAAATTTCTTCTGATCTGCTCGCATCCGATCATACACAGCTGGTAATAATAATTTAACAGAGATAGTAAGGCACAAAACTACTAGACACGAAGGTGCTAGATTTCACTGATTCCCACAATGAATTATGTTTACTGTCTCTAAATTATAGTCTAAAAATGTACATTCTCTGTTAGTTCGAGCAATGCTACACGCCTTTAATCACAACACTCGGAAGGCAGAGGCAGGTAAACCTCTTAATTTTGTGTATACACAGTGAATTTCAGACAGACCAGAGAGCTATGTAGACATTGCCTCCACAACTCCTTTAAGAAGAAATGAATTCATAATAATTTATGTTCACGTTAAAAGATAATTGTAAGTCAGCTCCTTATGCCTACTGCTCCCGTTCCTAGCTGATGCTCAAATACGGCCAGCATACTTCAAGCCTCTGGTGCTTACTTCAACAATACTGCTATTTCTTGACTTTGTCTTTAAAAATCACCTATGTTCCTGACCTGAGATAAGGAGTTTGCTTCCGCAGAGGATGCGCTCCCTTTTCTTAGTCTCTCTGAGCTTTGTTGCTATAGTCACTGCTGTTCTTGGTGAATCTTAAGTGAGGGAATAGCTTTTTCCTGGAAATATCTCATTTTCAAAAACTGAATTTTTGTCAAAAATTACAACCATGTTAATAGCACGCCTTGACTATATGCTCAATCTATTTTATTATTTGTTCAGCCTGTCTAACTTGCTCTTAAAAAAAACAATGAACCGCCGGGCGGTGGTGGCGCACGCCTTTAATCCCAGCACTCGGGAGGCAGAGGCAGGCGGATCTCTGTGAGTTCAGACCAGCCTGGTCTACAAGAGCTATTTCCAGGACAGGCTCCAAAACCACAGAGAAACCCTGTCTCGAAAAACAAAAAAACAAAAAAAAAAAAAAAAAATGAACCCACCTTTACTATACCTTCAATTTTCAATGTAATCATATTGTAAAAAAAGCTAAATATATAGCTGGCGTGGGAAGTCCTTCTGTATGTGTTGCTTTTATTGGCTAATGAATAAAGAAGCTGTTTCAGCCAGTGGCTTGGCAGAATAGAGCTAGGCAGGAAGAACTAAACTGAATTTTGGAAGAAGGCAGAGTTAGTGAGACAGCCGCAACTGCGAATATGCAGACAAGTCAGAACCTTGCCAGTAAGCCACATCCACATGGCGATACACAGATTAATAGAAATGGGTTAAATTAAGATGTAAGAGTTAGCCAATAAGAAGCTAGAGCTAATGGGTCAAGCAGTGATTTGATTAATACAGTTTGTGTGGTTATTTAGGAACTGAGCTGCCGGGCTGTCGGGAAATGAACTAGCAGTCTCTCCTGACATGTAGCTTTGATCTTTTACTATATCACTTCCATGTCCCTATCCCAAAATAATGTATGTGTGTGTTGTAGTAATCATTTGCTAGAAGTGGCCAACAGGTTGCTCTCAACCTTAAAAGAAAACAAACATCCACTATAAATGTTGGAAGCAACATATAGAGATAGGCTGATAACATGTTTGCAGTTTGAATACTATCTTGGGTCATCTTATATCAGTAAAACTTCTCTTGTAAAACTCTAAAATGTTTATAGAGAAAAATTCATTCTTTTTCCATATGTTTTCTGTACTGTTCAATAAATATGGAGAAAAACCCTTTGTTATGGAAAGTCAACAGACAAATATCACACACACAACAGACAACAAATTACAGATGTAACAGAAAATACTAGCAATGAAATTCAAGTTTGTGCTTACTCTTAGACTAAACTACTCCAAGACGAAGAACCTTTTTATTATTTAATGCAGCATGAATGGGCATACTAACAATAGAGTTGAAAGTTTTCAACTCAGCATCTCCTTGAACATCAATCTTAAGGTCTCAAAACATCCCTATTGTCTGCTTTGTATCAAATATATTTCTCTCTTTTTAAAATTTCTGGTCATCTTTTAAAATTGTCTCATAAATTACAGCAACTGTAAGATCAATAAAGTAGAGTATACTACTACAAGGGGGAAAACATTCTGTTTTAAGTATGATAAATTTTACAGTTGTTAAGGTATAGTTTTGTTAAAAACTTCGTGTGTGTGTGTGTGTGTGTGTGTGTATAGATAGATAGTTGCTTCGGTTATGTTTATCCATTCACTGGCTCTATCCAAGATGAAATGATCTCACTGTGTCTGTTTCTGTACTTGAAACAAGGCCGGCTTAGACCTTAGTAGTCCCCCAGATTTTAGCACAACTGAGTCTATGATAGAGTACTATTTATGCCATAAAACTCAGCATGCAAACAGTACCACCTGCCAAAGTGAAAACAAAGACTCAATCCAAAGTACCTAATATTGAGAATATCTCTAAATGGACTAACCTTGCTTTTTGGCTTCTGTGGTTCCACATCTCAAGTATGTCAACCCAGAACACAGATTCTATGCTTAAAAGCTCCCTCTAAAAATGGTTCAGGACTACACTGGGATCCCCAATACCCAGTAATGTTGACAGCCAGCTAAAAAAAAACTTCAACCCATGTCTGAGAAGTCTTCTCTGGTGGCTCCTCCAACAGCAGTACTCTCTAGTTTTTCTATTGATTTACAGAATGCATAGGGTAGACACGTGCTTAAAAGGAACTGAAAGGAGACCTTGCCTTGCTAATAATAGTTACTCTGTGCTGGGGTGCATATCCAACTCTATATAATTATTCTAAACATAATAAACTATTGATCATCAAAAAATGCCTAAGGAATCTTACTGAAAAACTTACCTTTCTGTGCTTTAGCTGTTATTTCAAAATACTTGACAGTGAGATCCTGGATAGACAACACAGCCATGTGAGCTTTCCGCTGCCAGTCAGCGTCTTCTTTTTGTAGACTCTCAATTCTTCGAGGTCCCAGATAATCATTCTCCATGGAAATCTTCAGAGAGAAAAAGGGAAAAAAAATCTTTTTACTTATTCTTCAAACATTTAATGAATATTATGTGCCAGGAACTAGTCAGGCTTGGTGCTAAAATAAAAAACACAACTTGTATCCTGCTCTAGAAGAGACACTAGTGATACTTACAGAGTAACTTAATAATGATGACCTGTGAATCTTCCCTCCATCCTTCCCTTTCTACCTTCTTCCACCCTCCCATTCCCTTTTACATATACAGTAACAATACACAAAGAGTTTGGTCATTTCTAAGTGTTGAGATAATGAGCAATTAATTTTCGCACAATAATAATATTTAAGGTTAACAATTACTTGTACAGTGATTAATTTTAAAATCCATTAAATATTAAAAAGAGATTTTATGATTGGTGATATTGTAAAAAGTATACCCATGTACATACTGAAAGGACTCTAAATAAATTTTCCTTATTTATTGTTTTCATTTTTCAAGTACTAAGGCCTGGCATATCCTAAGCAAGCATCTATCCCGTTAAGATAAAAATAATTAAAAACTAGCTATGTAGTTTGTGACCTGGTCACAAACAACAAAGGTGAAACAACAAAATGAACAGAAACAGATCATGTATACACACAATCCTGCTTTATCAAATTCAGAAGATTGACTAAAAAAAAACTAACAAGAAACATTTAAGCAGGGTATGGTGGCCCATGTCTATAACTCTAGCTCTTAGAAGGCTGAAGCATGAGGGAAAGAAAGTTAAAAATGCTGTTATATAATGAAAAACTAGAGTGTTGGCACACACCTTTAAGCCTAGGAGAGGCAGCCTATCTCTTGAGTTCATTGCTAGTCTGGTCTACACATGGTACGTTTCAGGACAGTCAGGGCTACATAGAAAGCACCTGCCTCAAAAAGTAGTTAAGAGTACTGGCTGCTCTTCTAGAGGAACCAGATTCAATCCCCAACACACATGGGTGATTCACAACTATCTGTAACTCCAGTCCCAGGGGATCTGATACCCTCTTCTGGCTTCTATGGGTACCAGGCACACATGTGATATACAAATGAACATGCAGGCAAAACACCTGTACATATTAAATGAAAAACAGGTAAACCTAACTCACCCATCAGGTATAAAATAAAAATCATCAGGTATCAAATCACTGAAAATCATTAATGAATTTTGAAAGTTAAAATAAAACAAGTCATATTCCCAAAGCAATGCAAGAACCAAATTAACATAATAACATAAAACTGAAGTAAAATTTAATTACCTGGTATTTAGCACCCTTAATTTGAGGGGGACTTCAAAAAGGAAAATATCTAGGATTTACTTTTGTGTGCACTGGAATTAATTTTGCAAAGGTCACGGCCAGAGATATAAATCTGGACATCAACAACACAAAGAGAACATTTATAAAACCCTAAGGGTAAATGAGGCCATCTAAGGTGTGTGTACACACACACACACACACAATGTTCACTAGACAATGGTGCCCGACACCGAAAGATTCTACAACTGCCAGAAAGAGCTGAGATAGACATCCAAGAAGATCTTTGAGGACTAGAGCTGCTAAACTGAGACTACCTGAAATAAACGGGGAGTTAACACTGAGAAATGTTTATAGAATCCAATTGTTTTTAGTAATAAATGTTTACAAAGTCTCTCATAACACAAAATTATGCTTTAACTATAGGTGAATATAGAGCAAATCACGGATAAAATAAATTTCAATTACATAATGAATTTCCAGAGATAAAGGCAAAGCATGTAAAATGTGCTAGTTATGTCATCTTCAGAGAGCAGTCTCTGGACCAGTCATCTTTCCCTGCACCTCCCCTTCACTAGAGCAATACGACACCAAAGGGAGATCAAGGGGACACAAATTGGAAAAGAAGAAGTCACTCTCACTATTTGCTGATATGATAGTTTACATAAGTGATCCCAAAAATTCTACCAAGGAACTTCGACAACTCAGAAACACTTTTAGCAATATAACAGGATACAAGATTAATTTAAAAAAATCAGTAGCCCTCATGTACACAGATGATAAAATGGCCGAGGAAGAAATCAGAGAATCAACATCCTTCACAATAGCCACAAATAGCATAAAATATCTCAGAGTAACTCTACCCAAACAAGTGGAAGACTTATATGACAAGAACTTTAAATCTTTGAAGAAAGAAATTGAAAAAGACACCAGAAAGTGGAAAGATCTCCCATGCTCCTGGGTAGGCAGAATTAACATACTAAAAATGGCAATCTTACTAAAAGCAATCTACAGATTCAACGCAAAGACCTCGAAAGAACAGTACT